TTCTCATTAAACTGCAATTTGTTCCTATACGTTTTTTCTGTTAGTTCATTTACTATATTCTGGATCTTACTTGTCGCTCCTTTTTCTACCATCTCAGTGGCTGTGGTATCGTCCACATATTTCCACAAGTCTGTATTGGTGGTGTCTATCTTGTCAATCATCAACACAAAACAACCAAGGCCCTAACTTTGTTCCTTCGTTATAACAGCATAAACTTAGCTTGATCAACACATGTATTACAACTGACTCGTCAACAAATTATACATGCCATTATATAGGTACCTAACTAATTAACATTATAATAACGTCCTAATGACTATAATAACATCTTTCCCTTTTTGAAGCTGAGTACTTGGGATCTAATAATAAAACAATAAATTAAAATATATAAATAATAAATGTCTGTGTCCGTACTGAAATACGATAACTAAATTTAGGACTATATGAACTACGATTAATAGTTAAAATTAAATAAATGTACGATATGAGTAATTCGTGTTCGTGGCATTACACTTCAGTGTAATCCCGACCCTATTTCAATACAAAGTCCTTTAGGTAGCTCGGAGGTTTCCGTGCTCTTCCAGATCTTCGTACAGCACCGTTATCTTCTGCAGCAGGTAAACATGTCATTTCTGTCCTTGCTTCATTACTGCCCATTTCTTTAGAAGGGCTCATTTGTCCTCCAGAGCCACCCATTCTTCCCAAACGAAACGGCTTTATCCTAACTTCATATTCTTCATCCAAAGGGTTCAAATCGACAGCTCCCCTGTTGTAATACTTGGCTTGTTGTCTTTTCCGTTCCGCTAGTTTCTCTACCGTGGTACCGCTGTCAATGGATTGAGGTTGCAGCAGCTTCGCTGTTGTTGGCAACAAGGTTCTCGCCCGCCTATTCAACAGACGCTGGGCTGGACTGCTCTTCATGCTCGCGGAGGGAGTATTTCGATGGTCAAGAACAGCCAAAAACGCGTCTGATTTTGCTTTCTTCGACTTTCTTAGGATTTTCTTAGCTTCTTTTACGTACAGCGCTTTCGGCTTTACCATTTGCTTGACTGTGGTATGGACTACAGGTGATGTGCTCGAAGTCCCATTCCTTAGTAAATATCTGGAAATCGTGTGCCACGAACTCCGGGCCATTGTCCGTTATCACCTGCTCGGGTATGCCGTGTCTCGCGAAATGACTCTTGATTTTCCTAATGACGTGTACTGAGGAAATATTCTTTAAGTGATCCAGCTCAAAGAAATCACTAAAATAGTCAGCGGTAACTAGATAGTGTTTTCTCTCTAGTTCAAATAAGTCTATTCCTACACGTTTCCAGGGTCGACTTGGCACTTCATGACTAAATAAAGTTTCCTTTGGCTGACTTCTCTCATACTCACGACAGGCTTCGCAGGTTGACACATGGTTCTTGATATCGTTGGACATACCGGGCCAGTAAAGGCACTCTCGAGCTCGATTAAAGCAACCATTTACTTCCAGGTGGGAGTTGTGGACTTTTCCCAGCATCTTGCTTCTCATTGCTTGCGGGATAACCACTTTTTCTCCTCTAAATACCAGACCATCTTGGATCGACATCTCGTCTCGGATGTTGAAGTAGGGTGTCACAACATTTGGCAGATCTTCTTTTTGCTCTGGCCACCCTTGCCGAATCACCGTCGTCAAGACTTGGAGGGACTCGTCGCTTTTTGTTTCTCGTTGTATTTCCTTTAATCGTTCGTCGGAAATTGGCAGGTACTTCATCATGTTGATAGTCTCGAACTCTGGACCACTTTTCCCATCACCGGGAATGCTCGCTCTGGACAACGTATCGGCAAGGAACATGAGGTTTCTTCAAAATACTTTCTAGAGGTTTATGATCACTGTAGACGGTAACTTTTCTGCCAAACGTGTAGTCATTAAATTTCTCGACCGCATAAACAATGGCCAACATTTCCTTCTCTATCTGAGCATATTTTGTTTCTGTCTCAGATAGTGTTCAGCTGGCATATGCAATCGGATGACCATTCTGCATTAGGGCCACTCCCAAACCAGTCCGACTGCTATCGCATTGGATCTCAAGACTTTCTGATGGCTTATAGTACGCGAGGACTGGGGTCGTTGCGATTAAATGCTTCACTTCATTCCATGCTTTCTCGTGTATTTCCAACCAGCACCACGCCGACTATTTGTGTGTTAGATCACGCAAAGGCTTCATAACCTCCGATAGGTTGGGTAGGAAACGACTAAGGTAATTCACCATTCCGTTCAAACGTAAGATTTTTTCAGGAGTGGTGGGTCGTGGCATCTGCATAATCGCCTTCACTTTACCTGGGTCGACTTTCAAACCTTCATTGGTGAGAAGATGACCATGGAATGAGACCTCTTTACACTTGAACTCCAATTTGTCCTTGGTCAACTTAATTCAACTTAATGCTCTTTTCTTTACACCGTTCCAGTAGCCTCTCGAAGTTCTGGTCGTCTTTCTCGTTGGTTCCGTAGACAAGGATGTCATCTGCGATACACCTCACTCCTTCCAGTCCCAGGAGCTCTTGGTTGAGACGTTCCTGGAAAATCTCACTGGACACGTTTAAACCAAAGGGCAGGCGTAACCACCGGAATCTTCCGTAGGGGGTAGAAAACGTTGTCAGCTTGCTTGACTCTTCGTCTAACTCTAGATGCCAAAATGCGGATGCCAGGTCAACCTTGAAAAATACACGAGCCTCTGACAAATTAGGTAGTAAATCATCTATGACAGGAATTTGATATCGCTCTCTCTTCAGGGCTTCGTTCAGTGGCTTTGGATCTATGCATATGCGCAATGCACCAGATTTCTACATGGCCACAACAATTTGACTCACCCACTCGGTCGGTTCTTCGACAGGTGTGATGACTCCCAGTCTCTCTAATCGTTGTAACTCGACTTTGAATTGGTCTCTCAGTGACACGGGGATTTTCCGTGCCGGTAGTACGACTGGTTGGTGATTTGGGTCTACTTCTAGATGGACTATTCCTGGCAATCTTCCCAAATCGTCGTTGAAAACTTAAGCATGCTTGTCTACCACTTCCGTTTTCTTACAAAACACACTGCTAATGAAGTTCTCTTTGTGAATCGTCAACAGCCTCATCTCCTCTGTGGTCTTCAAACCTAACAACGGAGTCAGGTCATCCTTGACGATCAAGAACTTCACGTCATACTACTTCTAATTTCTTAAATTAACCACTCGAACGACACACGTTCCCAAAGGTTTCACTTTAGTACCGTTCCACATGACTAGTGTTCTATCACATGGAGAAATCTATTCCACATACTTTTCCTTTTCCACATACTTGTATGGAAGTATGTTCGCGCTGGCGCCACAGTCGACTTAGAAAT